AAATTGAAAAATAAATATTCAAAACAAAATATATATAGCAATCAAAAGTTTGAGGATCAAATTTGATATAATCAGCAAATAATAATATTTCTAAATTTTTCACAACTTCCGGAAAATGTTTTCCGCCCAAATTTTTCAGGAAAACACTTTCTTGAAAACCAAGCCAAATTTTTCTTTGATTGGAAAGCGTTTTCCGCTTACAAACTTTCCTAACAGCAAACAAACACAAGAAAGTTTGGAAAGTGATTTTCCAAAAATCACTTTCCAGAAAACAAACATAGTAAAAAAAGGAAGCACTTTCCTGAAAACCAAGTCAAATTTTTTTTTCACTAAAAAATATTTTTCGTTGACCAGAAAGTGTTTCCCGTTGACAAGAAAGTGTTTTTCGTTGACCGAAAAGTATTTTCCGTTTACTAACTTTTATAATGACAAACAAATAAGGAAAAGTTTAGAAAATGATTTCCTAAAAACTATTTTCCGTAAAATAAACATGGCCTTAATTAAAACTACTAGTTACCTGACCTACTTCTCACTATAGGTTGGATCAATTATATATATATATAAAAATGTGCAATAGTTGTCAATGTGTTTTCTAACCGGAAGAAAAATTTTGATTGTGAAATTAAAACTTAATTTACATTTAATTAAATTAATTAAAGCTTTTATGCACTAATAAATATTAATATTATCAGATTTTTTTAATTAATTTGAATATTATCATTTAAATTATATGAAAGTTAAATTAATATAATCTAGTTAATTTGGAGGGTTTAACCATTATTTGGTAGGCCCAGTCACAATCAAGTTTGACTACAAAAAAAAGTTACAATCAAGTTTTATTACAAAAAAACTTTACACAATATTGTTGCACCTAATATTATAATGAGCTAGGGAATAGCTTTTTGTGTTGTGAGGAGGAATAACTGGTAACTTATAAAAATAATTTATTATTATTATGATCATTGAAAATCTAAAATAATCTTTAAAGTTTTGAAATAAAAAATGATTATCAAGATATAAGAAATTATTATTTTGAAGCTCATTTCTAAAATATATTATATTATTTTTTTTTCTAATAATTTATTGTGCTTAAAACTGGTGATTTATCTACATGAATAAAAATAAATCTAATACAAGTTAAATCTTAAATGAATATATAAATTTAAGTTAATTCATTCTAAAATCTAGATTATTTGACATATTTAAAATTATTTACTCTGAATGAAAACTTATAACTATTAATAATTTATTAAGTCAAGATGATAAATAACTAAATGAATATATTTAAGTGAGTATAGCATTAGCACTAGCTAATTAAATCTAACTCTTATCCCGAAAAAAATTGTTGTTAAACATTTTATTTATACAATAGTAACTCACAGTTAATGACTTATTCAAGTTTATTTATCCTGTAATATTAAGATTCAGTTATAATTTTTTTTAATAAAATTTTTTTATCTTAGTTATTAAATACCCAAACAATAACTATTATAAATTAATTTACTTGAAGGTACGATCAAATAACACTGATGTGTAAGACTAGCTAAGAAAATTAATACTTTTGATTAACATTTCGGTTATCTATAATAAAAATCAAATGCTTGAGTTGTATTATGGTTGTTTAGGATATACCAACAAACAAATAAAAATACTAATAAAATAAAATATAATTTTCTTGTCAATAATATATTAAATTTCAATTTAATGATATTATAAAATGAAACAAATAATTTTTTTTTGTTATAATTTATCTATCTATCTATAAATCCATCAATCCATCGGTCAATAAATTTATCACTAACATACCATAAATTAACAACAATAGTTTTTTGACAGAGAAACCCTTCGGTAAAATAAGTATAGTGTACATACAATCAAAAAGTTTTGTCAGTAAAACTATTAAATAAAGTAGAGAGCATTATTTTCTAACCAAATGAAAATTAAATTCTTGCCCTATTGTAACTCAAAACCTTTTTGTTTTAAAATGAGTTTTCATTGCAAATTAAATGCAAATGTATAGTTCTTATTGTGTGTTTTCGTCTTTGCTATCTTCATTGCCATCTTCGGTATCTTCCTCGTCATTTTGAGGACTACTGGTTTCCACCCTAGCCACGTCTTTGGGAAGATTCCATCTTGCTGGCAGCAAATGCAGCTTTCAAGTTCTGGTCTTCTTTTTTTAACAGAGTTTCTTGATATGCCTGTTGAGTGTAATCGATTGTCTGTGGAGACTCTGTTGTGTTGCAGGATTTAGTAATCCTCTCAGCATCTTCAGGAGACAGCCACCGTCCATAACCGCTGGGAGCTTCAGAGAATGCAATGGGAAACTCTTTTGGGAAGTTTCCTATCACCAGGAAAATGATCCAGCCAGAATCTTTAAGAGAATCCATGCAGGCTGCAAGGTAAAACATGGATAAGTGTTGCGGAGCTGCGTAGAGGCTGTCAAAGTTATACCACTCCCCATTCACTTTCCTAATGCAGAACCCATGATCATGCAAATGACAAATAAATGCATTTCCTAGATCAGGGTCAATCTGCGCATGCTCAGCAATTGGACTGTCAAAGGCAATGACCTGCAAATCCCACACCTCTAAAGCCTTTCGTAAAACCTGCAAACAAGAATTCTCACAACAAGTTAAGCTTGTACAACTCCATAAACATACCAGGAAATAGTCACCAGCAAAACAAGGAGCATACTTTATATGCTTTTAAGTTAATCTATGTAAGTTTGATACCAGTTTGTGGCTCAGAAGGGATGCATCTATGTAAGTAGCACTGTTCAACAAGCCAATTTATATGATTACACAAAAAGTTTTCGACTAGTGAAAAACAACATAGACCATGCATTGTTAGTAATTAATAATTCACCGGTAAAACAAAACTAGAGAACATGAATGTAATTTATGACCAGGACATGCCAGTTCAGTAATTTCTCAAGGAATCTCATGTAAAGAATAAAAAGTGAATGCTCATCATACAAACTGAACGGATACTCGCACACATAACATGAATTCTAAAGGTTGCATAGTTGAAAATGAGAATTAGTGCCTGAATGAATGGCAAAACCTACAATGAAACTTTACATGCTCATGTTCCCAGTTAATCTGCACTGTATAGTGGGTGTTTCCACCCTCATCCAAACCTACAACAAACTTCCATCACTGAAACAGTTTTCAGGTGAGTGTTTCCTCTATTTACTGGTCCATAATTACCAGAAACGTTTAACATTTTGGTTCTGGTACAAGTTTCAGAGATGGGATATGCACTTTGATTAATTTACAGTGCATAGGGGGTAGAATGGTACATTAGTTCGAATGTTGTACACTCGGAACATTTTTTCGGTTTGTTGATGGCACAGATGTTATGAGGTAATGGTATAAAGGAAGAAACTTCAAACAAAAATGTTGTTTTCATTTCTAAAAAATAAGAGAATAGAAAGAACTTCAGTTATTTCAAATAAATTGGATTAATAATACAAAATAAAGCAGGTTTGCCAGAATATAATTAAAAACCAGACCTGAGTGTGAAAGAATATTGGGCCAAAGTAAAACTGAAGGTCCAAACTTGTCCTTCTTACTAAGGCCAAGACTTCTCTTGTTATTAGGTTTAATTATCAACATCTCAGCTGTCTTAAAACTGTCTTTCTCAATAGTCAAGCATGTTTCTTTGTTTCTCTCCACCAGATGATTTTTTTTTTTGTTTTTTCCTTCAATTTTTTGCTCTTTCTTTATGGCTTCTCTCTCAGCTCTCTGAGGAAAATCAAGCGAAGTCAGATTTTTTTTTCAATTTCTTTCCATTAATACAGATTTTTGTTACTAAAAATGGATCACCAATTTTCACAATCCATATCGCAAACCACCTCAATCCCGTATATAAATGTACTGCGATCCAAAAGGTGCGATCCAGATCACCAAACTCGGGGGTTTCCACATTTCTGGTATATATGAGCTGATCTCATATCTTATCCTCACACCATGACATGCACTTCATAAGAGTCTATCGAAGAATTCATCCACACACTGGCAATAATCATATTGTTTACTCTAAGAGATTTAAAATACGGCGAGTGCTAAATCACACAACTTTTCCAAAAATTTACCATCTTTCCATCTCCCACCTCAAGCCACGCATGCTTTATAAAAGTATACCAGCCACCTGATTATCCATAAATCAACAACAAAGGTTCCACTAGCCATATGATACATTTCACCACTACTCGCTGAATGGTCAAAGCATCAATCTGAATCCCTACTATATGCTCCTAAGTAGAATAATTTGCACACTAATTAACTAAATGATTCATTATACCTCGCTACATCTCTCAAAATGCCTCAAATTTTGAACCTCTGAGGAAGGACTATAAACGTGCTAATACTTCCCTTCTCTCTAAACCTTTTTTCGTCCTCCCCACTAAACACAGAGTTACTGCCAAAATTTTAGAAAGGTCCATGAGTGTCCACCCAGGACATGTGGTTTTC